AGCAAACAGGAGGCTGAGACAGGAGAATCACTGAGTTTGAGGCCATCTTGGAGATGTAAGAGAGTAAGGCCATTTTTAAAAAGGAGTGGGGACTGGAGAGATGGCTCAGTAGTTAAGAGTAATGCTGTTCTTGCAAAGAACCCGGGGTAGCTCACCACCACTCATAACTCCAGCTCCACGGGTTTTCTGATGCTCTCTTCTGTCTATGAGGGCACCAGCACACACCTGATTTACATACAGACAAGCAAGCACACACCACACATAAAATAAAATTTATAATTAAACATTTTTTGGTTTTAATTTACATATGTGGGTGTTTTGCCTGCATGTCTGTCAGTGCACCACTTGTGAGCCTGGTGCCCACGGAGGGTAGTTACAGAGAGTTGTGAGCCACCATGTAGGAATTGAACAAAGGTCCTCTGAAAGAGCAGCCAGTGGCCTTATAACTGCTAAACCATACTCCTGGATTTTTTTTTTAATTTAAAAATACGTTTAGATTTTAAAGACTGTATTTACTTTTTTTGTGTGTGTACGGGTAATTTACCTGCTCATATATTTGTGCATTATGCGCATGCAGTACCCTCAGCAGCCAGAAGAGAGCGCTGGATCCCCTGGCCCTGGAGTTCCAGATGACTGTGAGCCGTCCTCTGCACGAGCAGCCCGTGTTCCTAACTGAAAAATAAGCGCGCACGCTCTCTCTCGCCCCCGGAATCTACATTTTTAAAAACTGAATTGCACATGCAGCTTTTGTGTTTGCCTGTGCTCGTGAGTGAACACGTGTTGATATAGAGCCAGGGGTTAGCCTCTGCTGGTCTGCACAAGCCTTCCTGGTAAGTGGGTAGGAAAAGACACAGAAACACCACCCAGTTCTGTTTGCTGGAGGCAGGGTTTCTTGCTAGGACCTGGGGCTTGCTGGTTACTCCAGGCTGGCCAGAGAGCCTCAGAGACCAGCTGTCTCTGCCTCTTTCTTCTATGGAAACAAAGACCAAGGTCCAGAACACCCAGGATTTTTGTTGAGGTTGTGAGGACTAAATTCATGTCCTCCTCTGGCTTGCCCAACACAGTACTTTATCAAATGAACTATTTCCCCAACTTTGAGACACCCTTTTTCCCTTCCTACTTTTTTGTTGCCCACCCCCTTTCACTACAGTTACCATGTCTGTAAATGCACCTAAAAGGTGTGAGACAGAATCCACAGGAACTGAGCCTGCAGCTCCCTAGAGCTTGGTAGGAAGGGATTACTGCCATTATTTTTAACTTTATGAACTTCTAAGTGATTTGCATTGCATTAATTTATAAAGTCATGATTGCTTGCTTGGTTTGAGACAGTCTTACTATTGCCAGAGTAACTGAAGATTCACCGCTTGGCCAAGGGTGACCTTGAACTTCAGATCTTCCTGTCTCCTTCCAAAGTGTACTTTACAAGCAATATTCTGCCATGCCAAATCTACTTTGGTAAGTTAAAAACGCTTTCTCTCTTTGTTTGGCTTGGTTTGGTCCTCTGTGTAGCTCTGCTTGTACTGGAATTCACTACGTAGACTAGGCTGACCTTGAACTCAGAGATCAACCTGCCTGTGCCTCCCAGGTGTTGGGATCAAAGGTGTCTGCTGCCACCATCACCCAGCAATAACAGTTTTTAAAAATTATTATTATTAAAACAAGTATGAAGAAGCTGTCTGTTCTTCCAGAGAACCTGGGTTAGATTCCCAGCATCCACATGGTGGCTCAGAACCATCTGCAACTCCAGTTCCAGGAGATCCATTGCCCTCTCTGGCTTCCAATGGCAGCAGGTACACACATGGTACACAGATGTGTATGTAGGCAAAATGCCCAAACACATAAAATTGGTTAATTCATTTTAAAGTTAGAGGAAAAAAATCCAAGTGTGTGGGTGTGTTAAACTCCTGTCTCCACCAGTGACGGGGAAACAGGCGTCCACTAGAGTGGACATAGGACATAGGAACCCTGCCCTCCAGTGTCCACCTCTAGTGCGTCCTGAATCTCTCAGCCCATCTGCACCCAGGCTTCCTGACCTCGCCTGCAGGACAGAAAGGAAACCACAGAGGGTGGGGCTGAGGAGGAAGAAGGGAGGGGCAGGTGAACGAGCTGATGAAACAGACCAGAGGGCTCTCCTAGCAAGCACAGTGAGCGGGGTGGAGGTTGAGCCGGCCATAGAGGCCTTCCTGTGCCCCAGCAGCCCCCTCCTGACCCCAGGCTTTGCTAGGACCTCTGAAAACCTTGAGGATGCCTAAGCCCAGACCAGACCAAAACACAGTCGGAGACCCCAATCGAGCCTGTCGGATTCTTGCACTACTTGTTTCAGAAGGGCTGGCTTCTAGTCCTGACTCCACGAACAGTAATAGGCTCCTTCGTGGTACCGATAATGGGGGTATGAGTCAGGGAAGAGGCAGAGGCAGAGGCAGGTGGATCTCTTGAGTCTGAGGCCAGCCTGGTCTACAGAGTGAGTTCCAGGACAGCAAGGACTACACAGAGAAACCCTGTCTAGAAAAACTAAGCGACCAACCAAAAGAAACAAGGGGGGAGGGGCAGCTAACAAAAGCACAGCACCCTGTTGGTTGGGTGCTTGCCTCTTCAGTATGCTCTTTTCAAGCACCCCTCATGGAACCCCTAAAAGAACCTGTGGCAGAGAGCTACTAGGAGCCCACTTTTCAGGTGAAACCCCAGCTTGGAGAATGTGTGTGGGTGACAGGTTGACACTCATCTAGCCTGCCTATTTAATACCCACTGAGCTGTTAGGCACACAGCACAGATACCACAGAGAACTCACGGGGCCTCAGGCCAGGCCTAATCATCTCTGGAGGACCTTCCTTTCTTTCTTCCTTCCTTCCTTCCTTCCTTCCTTCCTTCCTTCCTTCCTTCCTTCCT